TTGTGTGAAACCTGCTTTGTTCCTGGAACAGTGACACTATACAGTACTGTCAGTGTACTTCCATTCAAAATCACAAAAAATCCTAGCCATAAACAATTGAGATTCAAAAGTAGTCCAAATGTGATTTTATAACTTTCTTTTATGCTGGTTTGCTGATACCTACCTTAAGTCTCTGGGAAGAATGTTAAAATATAACAGTAACACAACATTTAAAAAAACTACATCCAAGCATAGTTAATTGCAGTAACTTGGGGAGAAGATCTGGAAGTTTTGCTGATTCTCATGTTATTTTGGAGAACCTCCTTGCCTTTTCAGGGAGTCAAAGCACCGTGCAGGTATAAGGGGGAGGCAGGAAAGCCATATTGCATGAATAGAATAGATTTTCCTAACATTGGAGGCTGAGTACACTTTAGAAAATATATATAAAGAATCAAAATTGCTTCTTCAAGCACTTTAATGTTTCACAGTACAACATCCTTGTGAAGTTCCATTTACTTCCATGGGAGCTGTGCAGGGTGTCCTCCTGAACCATGTCAGAGTTGTGGTAGATACTCCAATTCTTCTCCCCACCATCACCACCACCTCTACTCAAACCCCTCAGCATTTGGTATCTTATCTGCTCTTGGACTGTTGCCAACAGGTGCCCTTCTGCAGATCCCCACTTCGCTTTGAGCCAAGAAATCTCTTGTCAGATGTGAGTGTATCATTTCCAGACATGGCTGAGTCTGTCTCTCCACCAACCATCCTCGTTTACATCTGATACAATGTCATCTGGGAAATTACAAGTTTGAAAACATTGCACTGAAATAGTGAGAAATGCTTAATGCATTTATATATTGGCTCCTATAACAAAATTAAAACAATAGAAGAAGCAACCTCAGGACTGATTAATCCTGAAGCAAATATCATACCTTATGCCTTTTCAGGTGGAAGAGTTAACATTTTACTGAAACCTACCTACTACAGATTGCTTTCTGTTTTTAGGAAATACGAAGTTAATTTAAATAAAAAGGGTCTAAATACTTAGGCTTATGTAATAAAATGGCACATGCAAAGGCAATTTTCCCTTCTGGCAGGCAGGCTGCTGCTCATTCAATTTCACAAGTGTGTGACTACTCACATGCCCGCTCTTACACTTCCACAACAGGATTTTGGCTTTAAATATTCAGCTTTCCATGTATCTGAGTAAACAGTCCACACAGTAACTTGCCAAATTCCAAAGTATTTGAAGGTTGGAGCTTATCTCTGTGCAGAAAGACCACTCTAGGCGGCTTACAAACCGACAAACTTGCCAAATTCCAAAGTATTTGAAGCTTATCTCTGTGCAGAATGTGTTAATTTAAGAGTTAGATGGAATGCCCTTACACTTTCTTGTAGTTGCTCAATTCTATGATTTGGTGTTGTTTTCCAGAAAATTAATATTGATTCAGTTCTTACATTCTCTATACAGATACACTATGAGTGCCACAGCTTGGAAGAAACTGTCTGATATACCAACCAGCTGAGCTTCCTCTGGCAGCAGGATGCAAAGCAGATGCTCTGTCAAAGATCTAAAAGGGTGGGCAGAATGATCTAGGGAAAGATGGCATTTTAAAGATCCATAGTCAAACCACTTTAGAACTTTAAATTATATGGCAGCTATTTCAAGTTTAGGTTACAGATAGAGTAGAAGACAATACAGGATACATAAGAGAATGAGTGTCTCTCCTGGTTTGGAGGACCAGCTTGCCAATGTTACCGAGGAAGAATGCCAGCAGACTACAGTAGAAGATTCACAAATAGCAAAGAAATATTTGCTTCACTTATTTATTAGAGTGTATATCTCCCTTTCACTGCTTACTTTGGCAGGATCCTTTGTTCTGGTAGCTCCAGCTGCTGGAATGGAGTAGCTTTTGCTGCTTGGATTCTGGAGTCCAGATGCGTACTGCAAATGCGAGTAGATAAATAGGTACCGTCTCGGTGGGAAGGTAAACAGCGTTCCGTGTCTAAATCACACTGGCCATGTGACCATGGAAAGATTGTCTTCGGACAAACGCTGGCTCTATGGCTTGAAGAGCGGGATGAGCGCCGCCCCCTAGAGTCGGACACGACTGGACAAAAAATTGTCAAGGGGAACCTTTACCTTTACCTTATTTATTAGAGTGTATATCTCCCTTTCACTGCTTACTTTGGCAGGATCCTTTGTTCTGGTAGCTCCAGCTGCTGGAATGAAGTAGCTTTGGCTGCTTGGATTCTGGAATACCTGATGGGATTATAGAGAGAGAAGTATTAGCCATGCACTCAAGTGCCTACCAGTATTTTGGAGACAGGCTGTGGCTATGCAAAATACTCTCTTTATATGCAAAGAGACCTTCCTCCCTATTTCCCAACATCAAAATTCCCTCTCATGAGCTCTCAATGTATATGATATGATGAAACCCAAATGATATAGTTATATGCCTTATCATTTGAGGTTTGTTTTTCCTCCAGAGGTGTTATATTCTAATGATGTGCAGTAGTTGATTGCCAAGCTACACTGTGCTTGTGATTGGGTCCTTTACTCTCTCTGGGCGACTCCTCAGTTTCCGCGGAAAATAAGAAAGGAGACGTTTTAATAACTTTAAACTGCCACTTTTACTACTGCCTTCTTCCTCCAGCACATTACTTATCGGGTCAAACAGTCTTAACTCAGGCAGCAAGCTTAATAACCTTTAAACTGTCACTTTTATTACTTTTATTACCGCCTTCTTTCTCCAGCACATTACTTATCGGGTCAAACAATCTTAACTCAGGCAGCAAGCCGCAACTCACAGAACTGAAACTTTTTCCATAGTCCCAAGGACTCAACGGTGGGTTCTCCCATGCCATTCCTTGTAATCTGGCATCCAGGGAGGAGTGCTTCTCAGGGCGCAAATAGTCCTGCAGCAAGCGTGACGGATCCAGCCTCTTTCATTGGGATGATTGTAAAAGCAATTGTGGGCAATCTCTGCTTCTCTTTGAGGCTCCAATTCCCTAGGCACCACGATCGCTGTCCATTCTTTCGTTACATATTGTATCGGTTTCTCCTTCTCTTCTCCCGGATCCAGCAGTAACTCCCCTACTTTAAGATTCGGAAAATCTCTTAATAGTCCCTGGGTTCTTATGCTCTCAAAGGCTTTCTTTCGTGCTTCAATTCTTTTTGCTCATATTCCGCTACAACCGAACTGAACCAACGCACACCCTCTTCATTTATACCCTCCTCCCATACTGTCAGTTCATGCTCTGCCCCCTCTCTGTTCTTACCCTTCTCCACCAAGCAAACCTCTATCTTTCCCGCCTTTTCCTTTGGTTCAACTTCTTCCGCCTTTGTTGCAACTGTCAATTCTCCAACCCCTGACTTCTCCTCACTTATCTCATTCTTTCTATCTTCTTCTATGGCTTCAATCACTATGGATGGCTCACTAACACATATTTCTCCTTCACAGTGCTCCATGCCCTGTCATGATGGTGTGGGTGGGGAGCTATTTTTGAAGTCTCTCTCCTCCCACAACCTTGAAAGTAGAAAGGAAACGGGCCAGGTCTGGGGCTGTGTATGTGACGTGTTCTGTGAATATATCAGACATTCTCTGCCATGACATCTTGACATAGCCACCTCGGTGGCTTGGTGAGCTTGGTGGTCACTGAGAGCTGAGGAAAGCTGAGGAAAGCACCAAACTTAAGCCAAACAGTTGCTAAGCTGAGCTCAGGAACTGTACTTTTTAACATGCTGTTTGACAGTGGCAAAAAAGTGTGTGTAAGTATCTTCTGCAAAGTTCTACTAGTTGTTTGGGTACTAACTACAAAAACTATCTTCCTTCAGTTAGCTTTAAAGGATGATTCCTTTTCTGTTTCTAGCCTGGTGTCCTTTGCACTAGGTATAAATCAGTGGATCACAGCTTGGCTAACTTCTGTATTAGCCCTTCTGAGGAGCAGCAACAGGCTCCCAACATCACACCTACTCCAGGCCCCATTAACTCTCTTGCAGCCCTTCATCTATGACCAGGGTAGGAGTGGCACTCTATTTATACTAGAGCTGTCCCTACATCACATGACATTCTACTACCCTGTTTCCCTGAAAATAAGACCTAACCTGAGATTAAGCTGTAGTATGATTTTTCAGGATGCTTATAATATAAGCCCTACCCCCAAAATAAGCTCTAGTTAAGTGAAAGCATGCCCTCCACCATTGTGCAGCAGCCAGAAGATGACATGACTGTATTTGAATAAACGTAAATTGTAGTACATAAAAAAATAAAAATAAAACATATCCTGAAAATAAGCCCTACTGCTTTTTTTTTTTTTTTTTTTTTTTGGAGCAAAAATTAATGTAAGACCCTGTCTTATTTTGGGGGGAAATACAGTAGAGTTGTAGGGCTTTTACCAATCTTACAACCTCTGTCCATTTTCAAAATTGGACTATGTCCTAGAAAGCATTTTAAGATGAAATAATGCATCGGACAGTCATCCTTTTGGAAAACACACTGGCTGCCCATCACTTGGCTTTTATTTAGCCAATTAAAACCTAAGCAAACATAGACACATAAATCAATTTTAATTAAGTAGATATAGGCAATACAATTATGTACGAAAATTGATTTGGAGTTTAGTGAAAACAGTTGCATCCTGCCCTCAGGAGTCTGGAGAAAACTTTTTTAAAAAGCAGCTATATAGCATGTTTTTATAGGTTTTAGACTAGAGGGAAAACACACATTTACCTTAGCTACTGGATTGCTTTGTCAGAAGGAAAACCTCTTCCTATAGAGGGACAGTTTCAAATCCCAGAACCCACATAGAAAGATGGCTATGACCTAACACTTCGATTTCCTAAATTTTTGGTAAGCCAATACAGTAAATTCTGATGCGAACAGCACCGCAGTGTGGGCTGTACTGACAGGACCAGGCTTAGCTGGCTCTTGCAATACCCAACTCCGCCCAAAGAGGCTGCTGTCGCCAACAGTAAGCTACTCGCGTCTCTGAGGGGGTGGCGCTCTAACCACCTCGTAGGTGAAGTTGCAGATATCGCGAGAGTTCGCTCCTAGGTGCCGGAAACGAAAAAGAACACCGCAGCTACTTCGCCTGAGTGTGCGCGGCTGCCGAAATAGATAACAGTTCCCGAAACTTTCGCAGTACTCTCTGAATGCCTTGCCTCCGTGAGTGACCGGAGAGACGGGGATGCGGGGGAAAAAATAGGACGTCTCTTTGCCAGGAATAAAGATGGCGCTGCTGAGCCTTGGAAATTCTCCGCGTTTGGAACCCCCGGAAGCGAGGCTTCCCGTGGCAAGCATGGCTGCCGCCGCCGCCGCCGCCGCAGGCGCTTGTCGTGGGAAGAGGCGTCTTTCCTCGGCGATGTGGTTTGGAGGCCCAGTAAGTTGCCTCTCGAGGAAGGGAGGGTTAATAACGATCAGAACCGCAACAGCTGGGACCCGTAAGCCATCTTCGCGCCTGCTTTTAAGGTGAAGGTGGCGCAGAAGAAGGGCCGGACCCGTCCTGCCCGCTGCGCTTGTGCTGGAAAAAAGAGGCACGCTTTCCCACGTGTTGCACGACGGGCTGCCCTCCTGCTAAAAAATAAAAATAAAAAAATCCCTCTTCAGGGCCGCATGTTTTCGGAGTGATGAAGGGCAGTGTCCTTGATTTAATTCTGTGATAATAAACGCACTATATGTGCCTGTGCGTGTAGGCACTGGGTTCCTGGCTGCCCTTTGCGTCCCGTCACTCTAGTTCAGTCCTTCTCAGACTCGAGGTGCCAGGTGTTAATTCCAGTGTAACTCCCAAGAATCCCTCAGCATTGGCCACACGGACTGCGCCTGCTAGGAGCGGAAGTCCTTACATAGATATCTGGGGGGGTGTCCAGATTTGTGAGTTCCTGCTGGGGTCAGCGGTTTGCTTCTTCCTCACTTCTGGCTTATCCGGTTGAGATAAATCAGCACGAGAGCGTGACACGAGATGATTCCCTCTTCAGAAGTCTGTGTGACTGGGAAGGAGGAGAATAAAAATTCCTTGCAGACTGGTTGTCTGTACCAGATCCTTCCAGTGGTCAACAACCTTGGGCCTCCAGATGTTCTTGGACCAGCTCCCAGAAGCCTTCACCACCACCTCTTCTGACCAGGATTTCTGGGAGTTGAAGCCCTAGAACATCTGGAGGCCCAAGACTGGGGACCACTACTTTAGGCTGATGGCTTGGGTATAATGGGTGACAGTTTGTCAGTTTTAATATGGAGAAGGGAAAAACAAAGAGATAAGGAAACCTCTCCTGAATGACTATCTTGCATTAACCTTTTCTAATACAGTGGTGCCTCGCTAGACAGTTACCCCGCATGACAGTTTTTTCACTAGACATTAACTTTTTGCGATTGCTATAGTGACTCGCAAAACAGTGATTCCTATGGGGGAATTTCGCTGGACAGTGTTTGGTCCCTGCTTCGCAAACCGACTTTCGCTAGATGACGATTTTGACAGCTCCCTCCGCGCTCGCAAAACAGGTGTTTTCGGGACCTAAGATTCGCAAGACAGCAATTTAAACAGCTGATCGGAGGTTCGCAAAGCGGCTTTCCTATAGCCGATCTTCGCTAGACAACGATTCTTCCCGATTGGAACGCATTAAACAGATTTCGATGCATTCCAATGGGGAAATGCTTTTTGCTAGACAATGATTTCGCTAAACAGCAATTTCAGTGGAACGAATTATCATCGTCTAGCGAGGCTCCACTGTATTCCAGAATTTTATTCCTCTGCTACCTACTGATCACATTTTGTCATTTTCTGTAGTGTGAAAAAGTGACGTGTCCCTATGATGCTAATCATCAAATGTCTAAATCTTCCTTGGAGAAGCATATGGTGTCCTGTAGGCTGAGAAAACTAGAGTATTCTAAAGAGGAGGAGGTAATATTCATGTGCTGGGTTCTTTCTTCATTTGGTTTTCCACATTCTGAGGATAGGAAGCATCCCTCTTACCCAGTTTCTTTCGAAAGCAAATGTGACTTCTTAATTTTGAAAACTTTAAATGTTTTCACATTGTGTTCTTCTGTATAGAATGGAGGAAGTGGTGACTTTTAAAATTCCAATCAATAAACCTATTTTTTTAAAAAAAAAATCAATATGTTAAGAGTTCGTGTATTTATATTCTTTTGAGGTGGTCGTGCATCGAAAAACCACATTGAATTAAACTCAATAGGAAGAATATCCAGTTTCTCAGGTTAAATGTTCTAAGACAGTTAAAGCACTTATTATGCAAATATATTTTAGGATAGACTAGTAGCTCCGGGAACAATAAAAGGGCAGGATTAGCCATGTGGTTCTATCATGATTTAGTTTGTGTATACCTTACTGAGAATTAAGAGTGTGGATTTGCATTTTCGAAATCCCCAAGAATTCCAGAAGCATTATTGAGAATTTGTAAGAATGCACAGGATTAAGGGGGGAAGTGCAGTGTTTAACTATCAGTGACAATGATAATTACTCAGTAACTTTTTGGGGGGAAGTGCAGTGTTTAACTATCAGTGACAATGATAATTACTCAGTAACTTTTTGGTACATTTTGTCTTTTAGACTGAAATGTATGATTCTACTTTTTTCTATGAGAAAGCAAGGATCCCTAAGGTTCAAATGGGTGAGTGTGAATGTGCTGGTAAGCAGAAATCATTAGGCATCAGATATTCTTACTGTGTTATGTGTTCTACTGAGTGAGAACGTTATAGATAATCTTGAGGAAAAGTCTGTAATTGTATAGATTTCTGTTTTCCTTCTGGAGAATTCATGAAGCTTAGTTCAGTATGCTCTGGCTTAATTTTTATTGGGTAAGGCAACTGATCCCAAATGGAAATTGTGTTGAGATGTTTGGAAGGTGATATTTATTCCCAGGTAGTGTTACGTTTTAACTGTTTGCTCTGGCTTAATTGTTGTAGTTCATGTCTCTAGCTGTTTGTTTTCAAAGCTTGGTATCAAGTTTTGAAAACAAAGATTGAGACAGTTTTTTTCTGGAGGAACCTCAGCTTGCTTGTTTCTCAGAAATGTTGCTTTTCTACCAAAGAGGTACTTAAGATGTAATATAGACAGCATAATCAACGTAGTAGGTCAGGATTCTTAAAATGCAGTGGCTGCATAAATGATATTGTGTCCCCCACTAGACTAACTCATTTGAAATCTGGCTGCTATATTATATTGCTTTCTGCTAATTTCATGGAGATTCAGTCCAAGGAGCCTTGAATAATTTAAAAAGTCCATGAGGAAAAAAAGTGTGTAAAACCAGAATATTCAATTAGAAATCCTTTGATGTTTGTTAAATTTTTCCAGGACAGAAGCAGCTGTTAGGCTGCTGGAGCAAAATGAGTAAAGAGTCTTGTACTTTAAAGGTGATAAAAAATTTTATTATAATTATTTATTTTTATATCTTTTAAGATTTATACCCTGCCTATCTAGACCAAAGGTCTACTCTGGGTGGCATTACAAATTTAAAAACAGTAAAACCAATAAACATGCAAATAAAATGCTAAATAAAAGTTCCTAGTCATAATGGTGCAACAAGACTGTTGTTTCTGTTAAAAAATTTCAGCACATAAAAATCTCTCTTAAACATCTGGTCTCCAAATGTGAACAGCTGTTTAAAAAATGTGACAGCCAGGATCGTTTTGTTTTTACCCAGACTGTTGCTTCTTGTGCATTTCATGCATTGTGAATTAAATAATGTGTCTTCAAACTGCGTACAGTAGAATCATTATATATAGCTCATCCTTTTATGTCCTTTTCTGTTTTGCTGCAGACAAGAATTTGCAGTTTCACATTATTAAACAAGCCATTGCTAAAGAGTGTGGAAGTTACTATGCAGGTAAGGAATAGCAAGGTTGTCACAAGCGTTCCCTTAGTACAGAAACTATTTGCGCTTTTAGAAGCCCTGACTTGGATAGCTCAGTGGTTTAGGTAGGTGGCTGTGGAGCCAAAGGTTGGGGGTTCATTTGACCACTAGGAGTAGAACCAGCCTGTGTGGCCTTGGGCAAACTGCACAGTCCCAAGGTGCCCCGAGAAGGAAACGGTAAACCACTTCTGAGTATTCTCTGCCTAAAAAACCCGAAAAGGGTCACCATGAGTTAGAATTGATCTGATGGCAGTTGGGGGGAGGGGGAGGAATAGTTTCACTGTTTTATATGTGTTTGAATTTTCCAACATAGAAGCTTGCTCTCAGTGACTTTTCCTTCTGTGTCTCCATTTGGAATTTCCTAAAAATGTTTGCCTTTTTAAGATCTAGTCCTTTCCTATTTATTTTCTCTTTTGTTTGTTCATAGTATAACCCATGGCAGTGAAGCCAGACTGTAATCCATCTAAAATTATGTTTTTACTAAATATAACACTTTTCAAGGTGCAATGCTTCTGTGGTTATGTTCATTTTAACATGAAGTAGGTCATGAAAATGCTCATTTTATTGATGGCACCCAGGCTGTGATTTACTGAGAGCTAGCCAATGATGCTAGCTCTCAGTAAATGAATTCGCATTGTTGTAGCAAAATGGAAACTGCATTGTCTGCTTGGATAAAGAAAAGGCCTGGATCTTGGAGACAAAAACAAATTCTGATGTCTGATATAAACAGGGAGAATTCAGAATCGCATCTCAGCCTGACTTTCCTGCCACAGAAGTTCTAAGGTCAAATGAAATTCTGAACCCCTTGAAGAAAAGGCAGGGCTCAGGTACAAAAATGAATAAAACTACATAGTACTACGTTGTACTATGATAGAGCACTGAGCTGTTGCCCTGCATCATTTGTCAGTCCCTAGTGTTTTAGGATTATTTTCTGTACCCTGCTAGTGGACATACATTAAGGATTGTTTGTATTCCTTACCTTTTACTAACACATCACATTTAGCTTATAGTACCCTATTTCCCCGAAAATAAGATCTAACCTGAAAATAAGCCCTAGTATGATTTTTCAGGATGCTTGTAATATAAACCCTACCCAAAAAATAAGCTCCAGTTAAGTGAAACCCTGCCCTCCACCATTGTGCAGCAACTAGAAGATGACATAACTGTAAAATCTTCCTTGGTTTAGAAATTGGTGTAACATTTATTGGATTGTTTAACAAATAACCTGTGTCAACAAAGGTATTCCAACAATTTCCTCCTTCTAACAATTGGTTAGATGGGGGCTTCCACTCTTTAACTTTAAATGGGTTGCACCCCTGAGTGTTCCGGGGTCCCGGCCAGTCCATTGTAAAGTCCGAGTTCAGTAATTATCCTGTCTCCCCTTTCAGTAAGGGGACTGTGTCTTCGTCCCAGTCATCTGTCCAGACCTGGTCTCGTGAGGGGGAATCCTCCGGCCATAGTATTCAGAGGGACCCCTCTTCTGTAGCTCCATCATCCACCATTCTAATCTTTCTCTCCTCTCCACCTTTCCCTTCTCTTTCTCCTCCATTCTTTTGACTCTTGCTCTCCCCAATAAGAGGGTTTAGGGGTACTCTCACTTCTCCTTCTTGCATCTGCCTCCTCCTTTGGGACTCTTAGTTTTTCTGCCTTCCCCGTCCGTGGATCTTCCAACCAGATCCACTCCCAACCACCCCCTTTTTATATTTACAAGCCCAGGTTCTACCTCTACCCGGGGCTGTCATGCTCCTGCCAAAACACTCCCACTTTCTCCCAAGTGAGCCTCATTTAGTTGTTTGTAAGGTGCCTATTAGGTAGAACTCCCAGAGTGGAGAACTATGGAATGTACAGTCCAAAAAAACTGAATATTGTATTCCTCTTGTCATGTGGATACAAACCTTGGGCTGTTGGCAAATCAGAAGAATGTCCTCATGCCTTTCAACTTTTCTTCTTTGATCCCCAGATCTGTTCCGGGTGGTCTTATCTTCCTGGGAGGGGGGATAGGTGGTGTTTGCACTTCCTTGTCGGCAGAGGGCAGGAGGGTCTGCACTCCCATGAGAGGAATCTTGCTCTCACTGTCAGTCTTACACTTGGTCTCAGTTTGCATTGAGTGGTGATTGAGGAATATTGATTGATTGGTTTGGTTTGGTTTGATTTTTATACAGTGGTGCTTCGCTTAACGACAATAATCCGTTCCAGGAAAATCGCCGTTAAGTGAAAACATCGTAAAACGAAATTAAAAACCCCATTGAAACACATTGAAACCCATTCAATTCGTTCCAGTGGGGTAAAAACTCACCGTCCAGCGAAGATCCTCCATACGACGGCCATTTTCGCTGCCTATATAGCGAGGAATCCATCCCTAAATTTTCAAGAGCTTCTTACATTTCCAGTGCTTCTCTGGCTCAGAGGATTTGTTCATTTTTGATTGTCCTAACCGAGTCAATTGTTTGCACATTTCAGGTGCTTATTCTTCTCAGCCTGTTGAAGTTCCAGAAAACCACAAGCGTTACATATGTGATTTGACTCAAGCTGACCGTCTTGCAATCTATGACTACGTCCTTGCAGAGACAAAGAACCAGAGGTCAAGATCCCAGCTGACAGAAAATGACAGTGATCTGTTCGTAGATTTGGCAGCTAAAATCAGCCAAGGTCTGGGGGAAAATGTTGTAAGCTGTGCTTTATGGGATATTTGTTAAATTCCAAAACATGTGAAGTGGGATTTCATACTTTTGCTAAGGCATCCTTTTTTTCTCGAATAACACACAAGCTTTGCTCTGCCTTGGACATGATAGCATTCTGGGGTTAATGTCAGATTCAAGCCAGTCCTGTTAAAATTATTAGGACTTTATCATGTGTGTTGTAGGCTGGGTTGCAGTTAGTGATCATTGCAGTTACCCACTGCAAAGCAGCACCCACTGCACTGTGCTATTTTCCCTGCCTTGAATGGTCTATTTTGATGGAACTGTGCAGTTGAAATGGAACTGTATGGATGACCTTCGATACTTATCAGTATATGCTTTTATACTAATACTGGAACGGATGTATTCTTTTTTGTTGTTTAGAGGATGGTCAGAAAGGTCCAAAATCTCATCTTGAAATTCTTGCGGAGATGCGGGACTACAAAAGGCGACGCCAGTCCTATAGAGCTAAGAATGTACATATCACTAAGAAATCCTACACAGAGGTTAGTTGGGAGTATCTGGAGAAATATGAGTTCTTGCAGGGATTATTTGATTTTATGTTAACATAAATTAATTAGATCATTATATCTGTTTTTAAGCAGATTTTGCTTAAGTAAATTGCTAGCACAACTAACATTTTAGGCTAAGCCGTCTTATATACTTTTTAAATATATATATATATTTATTTTTATTTGTAACACTTTAAACACACCGGCATAACCAAATAAAAGGGAAGAATGGGAGGGGAAAGCGTGCTGTGAAGGAATTCAGTTAACAAGGTTTGAGATACTGTACCATCAGACAAAGACAGACAGTGCTATGCTTTGCTTTTAAAACAAAGTCCTGATTTTTTATCTGGTTCATCGCCTAGGATGCCCCCCCATCCAACAGAACAACCACTTTTTTTCTGAGTTTAGTCTCTGATATTTCTATCCAGGTAATAAGAGATGTAATTGGAGTGCATATGGAAGAACTTGCCAGTCACTGGCAGGAGGAGAACAGAAGTGCAGAAACTTGTGAAGATGATGCATCCTCTTTTTCAGCAAAGTCTTCAGGAAGGTAGGAATTGCTACTGCAAAACGTCCTCTTTTTCCAGGGGCGTTAGTACCTTTTGAATTACAAGGGAAGTAAAACTTGCACAATAGTGTCATTAAGATAAAAGCTATAAAGAGTACTATGTCGAATAGGCATGGAGAATCTCAGTGGAGCTGAGGACATTCTTCTGATTTGCCAACAGCCCAAGGTTTGTATCCACATGACAAGAGGAATACAATATTCAGATTTTTTGGACTATACATTCCATAGTTCTCCACTCTGGGAGTTCTACCTAATAGGCACCTTACAAACAACGAAATGAGGCTCACTTGGGAAAAAGGCCTCAACTGGAAGGCTTTGAGGCTTAGCTAGTAGGCTCACATCAATAAAACCTATACAATAAACCATTCTAAAATATCATAGAAACTATATTAGAAACAAACATGTATCATATTAAAGCCAACATTACAAATAATTTTTAAAGTATTTAAAAATCTCTTAATAAATACAACATTCCTCAGACCCTTATTGCATGCCTGAAAAGGTCTTTGACGACGGAAGAACAAGCAGAAGGGGGCCAGCCTGGTTTCTCAGGGCACCACATTGCAAAGCCTGGAAGCAGCCACTGAAAAGGCTCTCTTTCATGGCCTCACCAAAGCTTGGGAAGGTGGTAGGACTGAAAGAAGGGCCTCCTCAATAACTCTTAAAGCTGATAAAGCTCATATGGAATGATACAGTCCTTCAAACAGTCTGGACTTCAGCCGTATAGGACTTTATAGGTCATAGCCAGCACTTTGAACTGGACCTGGAAACAGACTGGCAGCCAGTGAAGCTGCTGTAATAAGGGAGCCACCAGTCAGGCTGCAGCATTTCAAACCACCTCAAGTTTCCCAACACCACCTTCTTTCAGCCGTCCAGGAAGGATCAAAACTACTATAAAACAGTAGCTTCAAGATCCACTCCAGAAGGATATCATGGTCAATGGTACTGAAAGCCATTGAGAGATCCAGCAGAACTAACAAGAACACACTCCTGGTGTAGGTCATCCGGTGCTAGCTGAGAGCTTTCTTTCTGAATAGAAAGCTAGGCCTGGCTCAGTGGTGGCAAACCTTTTTGGGCTCACGTGCCCAAACTGGGGTGGGTGGGTGGTCAGTGTGCTGCCACGCAACAGTGGAGGACCCGGAACAGGAAGTGCGGACCCAGAACTGGAAGTGGCGACGGAAGGGGGAATCCGCACCAGTTGCCCCAGATCCGCCTGCCGAACCGCCAGCACCGGCTGCAGCCGCCTTCTGAGGTTTGGCTGCACAAGGGGGAGGGAGTAGCGGTCTGGTGACCTATGGCTCGTGTGCCAGCAGAAAGGGCTCCGTGTGCCAGCTGTGGCACGCGTGCGATGGGTTCGCCATTGCTGGCCTAGCTAAATTTCAAGTGTTTTCCAATTGAGCCTTTTATCCCAGGTGAAACACACTTTGGTGTCTGTAAGGTATTTGTCTGTCAGGCTGAATTCCCAGAATGGAGAATTATGGGATTTGTAGTCCAGAATAATCTGAAAATCTCATTCTCAGATGGGACAAAAGAAGCAAATTTACATATTTATTTTTTAAAAAAGAATCAGTGCAGTTGTGTACTATAAAGATTGATACATTGGGCTTTTGTTACATGAAAGTTTAGGGGGGTGGGGGAATATATATATTTATTTATTTAATGGAGAAGCCCCTCTTGTTGCCTCCGGTGATGCTGCTTGCCAGTGCAGGTGTATCATGGCCATCTACTGTATAGCCCAGGAATTACCAACACCTGCCTCATGGGCTGTTTTTTTTTTTAAAAAAAAAACTCCCCAAAGATCTCACCATCATTCTCACCACTGCTGTACTGGCAGTTAAGAAACCGCTTGTCTCAGCCTTTTAAAAAAAGCTTCTAAATAGGTAAAAACAGCTGTACCATCAAATTTTAGTAGCACGGCAGGTATTGTGTAGGCATGATGGATAGGGGGAGGTGCAGTACAATTGTCGTTGTGGTTTTGCATCTTTGGTACAGATTCTGTACTGCCTCTAGTGACAAGCAACAATCTTTTCTATACAATGGCTGCCTCTGTTTATTATGGACTTAACAGGCTACAATCCTATTTGGTAGTTATGCCTGCAGAAGGCAAGTGGTGTTACTCACAGTAGCTTCTCACTGCTAATTAATGAGTCTCCATCTAGATTTTCCAGCAGCAACCCGGTGGGTCTGTGTGTATCCAAGACTTCAAACCGGGCCTCGTCAGACATATTTTTTTAAAGGGAAAGGGAGTTGTATGTTATATTGGCCCCTCCCTATTCATTTCATCAGTGGCATGTGTTTTCTTCCGTTTCCCTAGGAGGGGGATAAAAACATGTCCTTTCATCTCAAAACTACTCCTTTCCCTCCCCCGCTCCAGTGTACATGCTGTGACATGAGGACATATCATATTGGCACTAGCATCCAGACATGCAAAGTATTTTGCAAAAATGATCAATCAATAAATCAGCATCTGTTCAATTACTTATTAAACAATAGCTTGCTGACCATATAAAACAGACACAATTTATTCCCCCTAAACTGTATTCTAAGGCCATCAATTCCTTTCTTTAGAAAGGAAGAACAGAGATCTGCATCTGCTGATTCAAGACAGTCTTCTGAAAGCTCAAGGGATGCTGATCATTCTAGACACAGGAGAAGTTCCAGCAGAAGTCCGGGCAAACGAAAAAGAAGTCGTGAAAGGGAAAGAGATTCCCGCAGGAAAAGAGAAAGGCAAGTAATAAATGTCCTTGGTCTCTGACTGTGGTTGGATAATTTATGCCTTTAATGTGATAGTGATTGTAATAGCTGAGATCAGAAACAGTAAAGGTTCAGGTGAGCATGCCAGAGGTAAGTGGTATGCCACTTAATCAGTACTAAACTATCAGATCAGTGCTCACCCAAAGGTTGTAATTCCACTTTTGGTGCTACTTAGTTTTTGCATTCACTCAGCTACTCCGGTTTTACCTTTCCCATGCTTTCCAGAAGTACCACTAATCTGATATTGGTTCAGCTTACAATTAAAGGATCTTTTAAACAGCGATTCTGACAATGTCTAATGCAATGTATATATGCCATAAAATGTAAAATATGGAGGTTATCGTATTGCTTAATATGACAGAAATACCTAAAGCTTATCACAATTCTTAAGGTTAATTTCTACAGGGTGTCATGCCCAATTTCCACCAACTAAAATCTTCCTGATGTGTGACAATCATAAGAAAAATTCTAGAATGGTCAACAGCTACTTTATAGTGATAAAAAAAATCACTTAAAGTAGCTATTGCAGCATACAATTAGTTTACTCTTAACCCCTAACGTAAATCACTCCAACTGAATTTCTTATTGTAGGAACATGCATGATTTATGAAATAGCATAGGAATATGGGTGGTATAAATATCCCCTTTGGGGTCAGTTGTGACCCCAAATGCATAAGACATCGTTTCAGATGAAGATGTGTGTAAACATAATCAAAATAATTGTGAGTTAAGGTTTTATAAAACAAGAGTGACTACATTTAATTTCAACAAGAATTGGTGCTGTTACTTCAGGAGTGGGGCTGAAGTGGAATTGTAAACCATGTTCAGAACAAGTTGTTCCATAATCCCACTCCCTGCCCAAAATGTTATATACATGTATGTTATCTCTAAGCTCTCAAGTATAGAATGCACCTGTATACAAAAATAAGAATTTAATTCACTTTATAAGCAGCATAGTTCCAAAAAATTTCAGAACTGGGCCATCCAGTTTTCAAGGATAAAAACCCTTGAACATTCTTGTGAAGAGAGAAAGGAGTAAGAAGTCAGAACCAAAAGAGGTCATGCTTAGAGAAGTTGTTTGAAGTGTTGAATACTTTACAGAAATTAGGCAAAGGATACATTACTCAAAAGAGCCACAAGTAAATTATGTATGTATGTACGCACATGCTGAAATGTGGCGATGTGGTAAGCACATTCCACAGTTCTTCCCCACTATAGTCTGCTGTTTGCCTAAAGTTTACTTCTTTCAGTCTGCAGAAATCTTAAATAATGCTTGATCTTTGTTTCAGAGATGAGGACAGGCATCATAGTCACAAAAGAAGAAAATAAAATGGACATCTTCCTTAACTGTACATGGGCAATACAAGGACTAGAAATTAAATTGTATCCATTTCATCTCTGTAGCATCAGATTGCAGCTTTGCAGCAGTGTCTATTAGGTTATATTATATCAGCTGCCTGTGTGTTAAATAAATGTGGTATGAAAGCTGTTTCAATCACTTTTTGTTGTGCTGAAGGAAAGTGAGAGTGAGATGCACTTAAGTCACTGTGAATTCTATAAATATTATTTAT